GTCTTAATACCTTACTGTATTGGGGGGGGGGCAGTATTCAGTGAAAAAAGCCAACAACATTTCTTTTTAAAGAAAGCCTGTTTGATTCTCCTGCCATTAGGAGTCTAAAAGGAACTAAACCAGGAGAAAAAAGGCCATCGCTACAGCGGTTCATTAGCTCAACTTCCTGGACAGAGTCAGAGGAAGAGCAACCTGAATTAGAGTGAGTCTCTTTTTTCCTCCTGGTGCCCCAGAGATGGAAGCTTCTCCCCTAGAAGCCACTAATTTTTCTAAGCACAGAAGGCAGATGTGGTCCCATGTGGTCAAAATAAGGGAGGTGAATTGGGACTGTGCTGAAGCTTTTATCAAAAAGGCAGTCTAGAAGCCTACCAGAGGGCAGGGGCTTTTTAATCCAGAATCCAAATCACCCCTTACAGGACTATTCTTCTAGAATTGGCAGCTCCAGAGATCCAGGAAAGTAAAGCGCGGAAGCTGAGCGAAAAAGAAAGCAAGACATCAAAATGGGGGCTGTGCTCACTGTAAGTATAGAAGGAAAGAAGCAAGACAAATGCATGGTGCGAACGTGGGGAAGAAATTTGGAATTTCTAATTTGTTGAATTTGAGGCAGTAGCAGTGATTTATTGGCAGGCTTTAGATGCTATGCGTTTCTCCTGCATCTGGAGTAAGGATTCATGCAGGAAACATGAAAGGACTTCTAGGGTAGATGCTAATAGGTCTCAGTTCTGCAGAGAAGAATCAGTGATTTGTCCATGGGACCCTGGAGACCAAAAGCCAGGAAGGACAGACAGAGTATTTGGAAGAGTGACCACAGGTTTGCGGGAGCTGTTTAGAAGGCAAGGTTTTCCCTCCTGTAATACCAACGCTTGGGGCTTTCCAACCAAACAGATTTGGCTGAAAATTCAGGAGTCATGACATTAAGTACATCCGGTGGTTCATATTACCTTATGAAGAGACTTCTAGTGATCTAGTGATAATCGTTTCCTCACAGTTCCCTTTAGAAGGATGGGGAATTTTGAGACAGATGAGTGGAAAAGAAAGTTTCCAGTAGCGATTAGTCATTCATGACTCTACGTAACCTTCAGCTTTTGAGCACGTATGTCACTGAATACAAGTTATGGAGAAGCAACACAGAGACTGTTGCTTTCGTGCCCTACAGGTTGGCCTCTCGGAAGCATCGGGTTGGTTGCTGTGAATCTGATAGATAATTGGTTGTGGTCCAAGAGAGTTTCTAGTGTCTTTGTTCGCATAAGACCAGTCACCTTAGAAGCTCAAACACAGGTACACTTAACCTCTGGCATATGGATACAGGAATAGCCTCTTCTGAGCTTTTGTTCTACCATTATGAAACTGCCTCCCCAAGAACATGCATATTTGCCCTCCCCTGACTAACCGCCCAGAGGTTTTAAGCACTTGTGGCCTCCCTTCTCTGTATTATTTGAGATGCTATGTATTTGCTGCCATTTTTTCTGTGTTGTAATCCTAGCCTACAGTATTTTATTGTGTCTGTGTGTGGAGAACAATGAGCTAGAAATATTCTAAAAAAGGAGAACCCTTTTTCTTGCAGCCTTGTCAAGTCAAGAAAGTCTAGAAATGTTGAATTGTTCTACTCTAGTATGTTGATGCTATGCAAAGATTCTAGGTTCTCCTGCTTGGGCTCCAGTTCCCTGGGATCCTGTCCTCTGGGGACACGGCACAGCTTTCCAGATGCTTCTGAACATTCCCCCAGCACCCATCAGGTGGCCATCCTGGCCAGGAATGCCGGATACCTGGCTGGGAATCCAGCAAAGCCTGGAGAGCCATTCGTGGTGCACCCATGTATAGGACTTCAAAAAATGTGGACAGCAGTTACATTAAAACTTCTTTGAAAACTGAAGTATTAGAAATGAAAATAAAGCACACCCCAGGTCCTCATTACACATTCCATGGGATGAGGCATCATCAGTATGCTGATGATACCCAATTATACATCTCCATCCTGGGTAACCTAAGTGATGCTGTGACTACCCTCTCGCGGTGCCTGGAGGCTGTAGGGGCCTGGATGGGGGCCAACAGGCTTCAACTGAACCCTGGTAAGACGGAGTGGCTGTGGGTATGGGGAGCCTCAAGATCTAGGAGTTTATCCTCTGGTTCTTGATGGGGTCACACTACCCCAGACAGACCCAGTGTGTAATCTGGGGGTCCTCCTGGACTCACGACTCCTGTTCGAAGAGCAGGTGGCAGTCGTGGATAGGAGGGCCTTTGCACAACTTCGTGTTGTGCGGCAGTTACGCCCCTTCCTCAGTCAGAAGGCCCTCCGCATGGTCACTCATGCCCTGGTCACCTCCCGGTTGGATTACTGTAACGCGCTCTACATGGGACTACCCTTGAAGAGTATCTGGAAGCTACAGTTGGTACAGAATGCAGCGGCGCGGACAGTTCTGAATGCCCCTAGGAGGGCACATATAACACTGCTGTTACATGAGCTGCATTGGTTGCCGGTCTGCTTCTGGGTCTAATTCAAGGTGTTGGTCATCACCTTTAAAGGCCTTCATGGCACAGGATCAGATTATCTGAGGAGCCGTCTCACCCCAGTTACTTCAGCCCGCCCCACTCAGTCCAGCAGAAGGGGCATGTTGCAGACCCCACCAGTTGCAATTGCAGACCCCACCAGAATTTTGACTGGTGGGGTCTAGGCAGAGGGCCTTTTCTGCTGTGGCCACCGCCCTATGGAACAATCTGCCTCCTGAGGTCCGGTGTGCCCCCATTCTCACGGCCTTCAGGAAAGAGGTGAAATCCTGGCTGTGCCAAAAGGCCTGGGGGCCAGATGGGGGCTCGCACCAGTGGACGTGGCTTGTGGGGTGATTGACCTTGCCCCCCCCCCCGCCGTCATCTTGAATGTTTTTAGTATTTATGTACAGGGTTTGTTGTCTATATTTGATTTTTAATGGATTAATTTATTTTAACT